ATTAAATGTGTTGAAAAAGTCAATAAATTTAAAGGATTAGAAGCTCTGAATGGATCAGCATTAAAATCACCAAGAAGTATCACTAGAAAGTCCATTTGGTAAGCATTATTAATTAAATCTAAGATTTTCCTAAAGATTTTATTATACAACTGAGTATTTAAATTAGAGATATAAATATTAATAATATGAAGTTTAGTTTTATTTTTAAATTGGAAATCAAATAAAAAAATGTGATAATAGAATAAAAAGTAGTGAAAAATATGATTGAATAAGTGTTTTCTAATCAGAAAATTAACTTCAAAACTCATACTTTAGAAAAAGAAATTAATGGCAAAAAAAAGAAATAAATTTATCAATGCAAATAGGTTTTAAATAGTGAATATGTAAGGGAATTTGAAGTTGGTCTCTTATAAAACAATAATATCTAAATTGTAAAGGTTATATAAATCAAATAAGATTTGTTATTTATGTGATAGTATAAATAAGCGAACATTATAAATAGCAATATTGAGAGCAAAAGAACTATCTGGGTATTATTAAGTTGTGAAATCATAATTATTTGAAATATAAGTTTGAAGTAGAAACTTTGAATTATCATTTAATGTATTGATAATACCAGGTAAATTGAGTTTGAGGATAGAAAATTTGTGGCTGAAATGTGTATTATCATATACTATATTTTATATACTAACGACTACTCTAAAGGTAATATTAAGTTTTGCAATGGTAATTTGTGATGGTTACATAATTCTTCATTTTCTTTATGTAGTAATTCAATATACTTTTTATGTTCAATCACTTTAGGGTCTGATATATTAACTTCTGATTCATATATAGTATTAGTTTCTATAGTACCTTTTATTTTAGTAGCTTCATTAAGTTCAGCAGTTTTTTTCGATATAAGAATGATAATATTTTTCAACTTCATCAAGACAATGCATAGAAAATCAAAGTTATTGTAAAAGTTAGCTAGTGTTGCAGTGATAGCATCAAGTTTATTTAAGATTTTTTAGGTGTCAGTCAATTTATATAAAGGTATTTTGATCGATCTATATGAGATATCTTCATTATCTATTTATTCTGACCATGATTTTCTCATATAGATCAAATTGTTTAGAGATGATTTTTTTGGGATATGAGTATTATTAGAAGAAGATAGTATGAGTTTTGTTAGAGGTTAATCCTATTTATAAATGATCGTGAGTTTTTAGAATCAAATATCATATTTTGGTTATATATGAATATTACTTTAGGATATAGCACAAATGCAGAATGATTTTAAATTACGCTAGTTTAAATCATTAATATAAATTCTGTATTTATCTGTCTTTAGGCTAGGTCATTTTTTCCTATAATTATGAAAATAATATCTAGAAATTAAACATAAATTAGTGTCTAATGCAGTTCAGATAAGTTATCTATTGTCAAATTCAATCAGATTTCTATTTTTAGCAGCTTTAAGATTTTCTTTGATGTGAAATTATATAAATATATATTGTAAATTTTTATAATTTAACTGGATTTTAGAATGATCTAGGTTACTGTATTAATAGTTTTTCTGATTGGTTCAAATTCTCTACCTGTGGTGTTTTTTGAAAGATTTGTTAATTTTAAAGTAAATTAAGATTAAGATCTAATTTTATCATTTGTCAGAGAACAAATATGCACTCTAATCATATCTTTGAAGATAAATAAATCTGTATAAGTGTTAAAAAAGAATAAATCTGTCCTAGATACATATAAAATAGTTGTTTATTGTCAAAGTTTTTTAATCATCATAGGGCATTTAATGATCAGATCAAAATAGGTAAAGATTGATCTAATAATCTGTTCTGATGTGAAAATAAAGATTTCTGTGATTTTGATCAATGAACTTGAGTCAAATTTAAAAGGGCAGGTGGGGTGAGAGGTTTGAATGTTACAATATCTATATTAAGAATTTTAGCAATAATTGTCTAATTTGCATCTTCGTGTGTGATAAATTCTAATCTGATAATATTTAACATTTTATTTGTAAAATCTTGCTTAATCAATATACTAATAAATGATGAGAAATCTATACTATTGAATAATTTACAGGCTTTGTTAGTTTTTTCACAAAAAGATTTATTAGGAAGGAAAATTTCATCGATATAATAAATGTAGAAGGTAGTTGCATCTTGTATTCTTTCAAAAGTAATAGTATTTTTATTAGTATTTTTGTCATTTAATATATTCTCTAAAGCATCAAAGGCCTGGTCTCATTCATAGTATTGTTATTATCAGAAACTGATATTTTACTATCTTTTGGTACTTGGATAATCAAGTAGTTAGTGGTAAACACTTCTTGAATAGTTATATTTTTAGGAAATAAGATAGGTATGTTAAACTTAAAGGTTTAGATAGTTTAGATAGAACTGCTTACGTCTATTAGTCAATATTCATAGTATTAGCTAACATAATTGTAGTAGTTGTAAGAATTTTTGAAAGACCAGCTGTAACTTTGTTAGCAGGTTTAAACAAAATAGTCAAGAGTTTTTTCTTTAGTAATTATACTTTATCATTATTTAGAGAGTTAGGATGGCTTTGTAAGTTGCAATTATTAATTTATGAAAATTTTAGTTTTTTTCTTTTTCCATTTTTTTTTGTCATATATGCAAAATTGATTTTTTTTCCTATTAATGTATTATAGCTTAAAGGCTTAATTAGAAAAATATCTATATAACTAAGTAAATGTTACTCTTAAAGTGATCCTTTAAAGATTTCAATTTACAATTAAGGGATACAGCAACTTAACACTAGAAGCACATCTTTAATGGTTTGCCATCTGATATAAATTACTTGTAACAGTTTAACCTACCATCACAGGCTCACTAAACCATCAAGTATTATCATCTTTTGAATAGAAGATTCACTTCAACCATAGAGCTTATTATACCCTATTTTTATCAATCTAATTTTTAGGATTTTATCCTATTAATGACTTCTGAGACCGTGAGATCAGGTCCTTTATATAGATGGTAATTTTGTACTCATAATGTCAAATTTACCTGAGAATCGAACTCAACCTCTACTTTTAGTGATAGTTCAATTAGATGATACTGCAGTCTATTATCACTATAACTTACTTGAAGGAGGTATCTAATCTCCTAATTACTAGTTAATTACTTTCTTACTTGTATAAAGGTCCTTGAATTTAAAGTCGTGAGATAGTATCCATTACAGATCTGTTAGTAAAGGCTAAGTTTCTGTTAAACTTTAGCTTCATTTGCATTCATATATTCTTTAAACTCAGTATTTAGACATGATCAACCTCAATCGATGGATTGATCAATCAGTTTTTAACGTATATTAGTATATATGCTCACATATTCAGTTATATATGAAATTCTTATAAAAATTATTTAGTTTTATACCTCAACTGAAATCTGAATCTATGTCTATTGCAGTGTAACTTACAATAGGAGCTTATTTATTACTAATTGAACTAAGAACGCTAATCTTATTTATACAAAAATGATTTGCAAGGCTAATATAAAGATACTGTAAATTTCATATTATATTAAAATGATTTGCAATACTATAGTCAAATTAGACAAATAAATGATCTACATGTCTTATTTTTTAAATTTAGTAGTCTAATTTTATTATGCAAATAGATTTTATTATGTTATTCACTATTGATGACATTTATTTCACTTTATTTATTTTATTTATTTATTTATTTAAATCATTTATGTAATTTTACTTATTTACATTATATTATTTATTTTCTTTATTTTATTATAATTAGTATGTATTTTTATATAAATAAGAGTAATTCATCAATGTAAAAAAGAGTAATCTTATTTTGTAATAATTCTTTTGATAAATAAATTGTTTAGTACAGATATGCTGACAGAGGCAATACTAGTCTTTTGTTTGTTAAATAATTAATTGCACACACTTCATCCAAATTGTCTCATTTATTTCTATTACTTTTATCTTGTATCTTTATTTTTATTCTTTCATGTGAAGGAAACCTTCTGCTAAACCTTGATATCACAGGTGATTTACCCACGATCTAAAAGAACTGGTATAACAATATTTCAAATATTTGTCTAATTTGGGACATACTGCAACAAAACCAGACAAAGTGAATATAAACATAAAAATTTTAGGGCTCAAAATTATTTAACATATATACTATAATATAGTATGATTTCAATGTTATTTTTTGTTTTCATAATTTTCATATTTTATAGATTTTAATTGAGAACTATGACATATCATATTCAAAAATCTATAATCATCCATTATTCAGTATTCTAAATGTAATAAAGATTAAAGAAAGCAAATTAAAAGATATTACAGAACAGCCAATGGCTAAAGTAAATTTTGACTATCTTTTTGAATACGTTTACGCCTCACACATCCTTGCTCAGAAAATGTGTATGGTTTAGGATGAATTGAGCTGCGTCGATCTCGGTGCAACCGTGACGCCTTGACTGCCAGCTCATTCCGAATAGTTATAATGTAGTTCAGAGTTGACTATAGAAAAAAAGATTAATTAAAGTTCCATTGAAACAACCAACAGAATGGTGACAGAGACAAACCTCAATTCGCAACAGCAATGTTGTTAACTTTTCAATTATTAATAATTGATTGTTCGATTGAGGTAATTTTGTTTCTTCATGAGGCCTAACCGCCATAGACCTTTTGCTTTCCAATCCAATGCGTACAAGTTGTAATAAAAACCTAATATCCCATAAAATTTATTCAAATGCCAATATTTCAATTTATATAAAGTCAAAAACAAAAGACTCACCATAAGAATGGACGCCAAATGTATACAAATTCCTAAAGTCTGTACATTCCACACCATTGTTTTCTATTGCTTCTTGGAGCAAGACATCGCGCATAGCAACCATAAGGTCAACTTTATCATTCCATCTTTTTGAACTACAAGCTTCGGGTAATCCTCCTGATCGCAGTCCAATGACTGCCTCAAAACCATCACAAGTGATCCTGAAATCACAACGTTGCCCAATCAACGACCTGTCAACTAGTTTCTTATTTAGGTTTGCAATCATCGCTGATGCAAGACTTTGTATTTCTCCTCTAAAAATGATATTGTCAGCAAATAGAAAAAAATATTTTCATATTTTTAGGAAAAAAAAAACTTAACTCGTCATACGCGAATTTCTGATAATAAGTAATAATACCCTTAGTCATCATATTAGTAAAGTTATTTGAGAAAGAACCTTCTGACATGAATACCTTTGACCGATCCAGATTGTAAGCACTGTATACTATATTGTGAGAATGTTCAATAAACAATTACGATGTAAAGACAAATATCAAATGGAACACATACTATGTTTGAATCAGTCTTTATTACATTTATCTTTGGATGTCCCTAAAATCAAAATGCATAAGTTTCGAAAATCAGAATGCACCAGTTTTAATGGTTCAGTTTTTTTGTCTTTTATTATATAATTTTACAGTTTTCAATCTTCTGGATTAATATTTAGGTAACATGTACCTTAATGATACATTCTTCTATATCCGTGACAATATCGTCTGATTTTCTCTTAAGTACCTGAATGAGATTAAACATCAACCAACAATCTAACACAGAATAAATCCAAGACATAAGAATTTACCTTCTCAATTTTGTCAAACAAGTCATAGAGTAACTCTTCCTCCTTTGGATCCGTTTCCTTAAGCACCACTGTCTTGTTAAAGTCTGCCTTCATTTCGGCCCATTCTTCAACAGTAAATAATCCCTTGATTTCTGGTTCTTCTCCGGACAAGTCGAGAATCCCAAAGTATGCTGGGCTGATAAATAAAAATTAGAATAATAGCAATTATGTGTCCTAAAAAAAAAGCATTATTTTTAGATACTTACTAGAGATAAGCCTTTGTCAGCGGAATTTTTGATTTAAACTCGTTTAAAACCTTATAAACGTCTTTCCCTGTTGAAAGAATCCATTTGTTATCGGACTCATCCTCTCTCATATTTGTTGTTGCTTCAAGTTCTTCTATATAATTCTATTTCAAGAAACAGTAAAGATTTTGGTCACCTATAATAATCACCTACACAAATAAGCAGTGATAACATAAAATAAATAAATAAAACTCACCAGCTTACGCATTTGATCATCAGTATCATCATCCACATCAAAATCAAAGATATCTTTTTCTGAGACGACATCACTTGCATTTTCATTCTATATATATTACAATTACATTACTCATTGTAAATTTTTAGTTAGAAATGATATAGAAATAATTTACTTGCTTTTCTACTTCGTTTACTTGATTGTTCCTATTAGTATGAATATTTTTTGTTATTCATCAATTGCTTAAATATGCATATGAAAGGAAAAACTTTTATTTATTCCCGATTAATATATGAAGCACAAATCTACTTGCCATACTGTCAAGATCATCTTCTTCGTATAAATTCTTTAATACCTTCTTATTCTGGTGATGATCTTTAAGTGCCTCCACATTGTAGGAAACTATCATATTTCGACGTATTGATGTATGCAAATTTCTTTCTTCTTCTTTTTTTCGAAGCTCATTCATAAATTGTTCAACTTCCATTGCATTGAAATACTTATCATAACTTTTTAAAAGTTTGTCCAATTTACTGATCGCTCTTTGTTGCATATTTTCTCGATGGTAGTGGCGTCGTAACGTTGTGTAGATCTCATCCTTGAGGATGTTGACATTATCAATACATAAACCATGCTTGGATTCTGTGTATTTCAAGATAGATAGGATTGACCATTCATTGTATTTGGTAGTGTTGAGATATTCTTCAATAGTGGAATCATACATCCTGAAAAGAAAAGAAATCAGTTATTAAGTTGTTGTGTGTTAATAATAATAAACAAGACCAACTTGTCAGAGAGAAAGAATGCGCCAATAAAAAGTATACTGGTAACCAACATGTCGAAATCAGCCTTTAAGCACGCATGCATCAAAGGGGATCCAAGAGGTTGTTTCCAAGCATCTGACGCAGGAGCAAATGGCCAATACGTTAGTAAGTATACATAACGCAGGAGCAAATGGCCAATACGCCAGTAGGTATACATAACGCAGCGCTGGTAAACAACATGTCGAAATCAGCCTTTGAGCACGTGTGCATCAAAGGGGATCCAAGAGATTGCCTCCAAGCATCTGACGCAGGAGCAAATGGCCAATACATCAGTAGGGCTGCGCATTACTGGTAGCAATGTGTTATAGTAATCACCCAGATAAATAAGACTTAACTTATTTTCAAACGACGGCTCTGAAATATTTATATACTAATAGTAATGACGGTATATCCTGAATGCTTGTCCAATATTAACAGTTGATAAAAAAAAATTTTTTTTTTTTTTTTTTTTGAAGTCTGTTATAGAGTGTCCAGGATTTGTTGATAACGATTTTTTGCGATTTTTGGCGTGGGCAATTTTCACGATATTGAAATTTGATTGGATAATTTACCAGCATTTAGCTTTAATATATATATGGGTTAAAATCGGGTCACGAGTAACATGAACAAATAAACGTTGAAATTAACACAAAAATCGCGATCACGATAAATCACGATTTTTATCACGCGATTTTAGGTCATCACGCGGTGTATCCTAGACCTGGAGGGTGCAGACTCTTATCCTGTACCCCCTTTGAACCTGATTGGTTCCAAAATCATATATCGCGTCTTTGGCATATACAAATTAAATTTTTGTTTTCTTCGAATTTAAACTAAATTTTCCGTTTCGTTTGTTTTATTTATATTTTAAAGAGAAAAAACAAGCTAATTTCTAAAACATAATATATAAAAGTATAATATTTAAAATTTTTATTCTTTTATTTATTTCAAAAGAAAAATAATAATAAGATATTTATTAAAGCTACTCTTATAATCGCCAAAATTGGCACTTTATTCCATAATTTTTCTAGCTTTTTCAAATGTTATATTGCCCTTATCCTGAGAAATCAAACGTAATGCAGTTTCTGGAACCAAAACTTCTTGCAAAAAAATCAACTGGTTTTTTAGGATAAACCAGTTCATTTGTTAAAAGATTATTAAATAAAAAAAGTTTTGAAAGTATATTGCTAATAATATTTAATCTTTTTGAACTATAATACTCTGGCTATAAAAATAAATTTAACGTAAATATTTAAAAATTTTATAAAAATTTAAAAAAAAATAATTACTTACTCTTAATTCTTCAAAACAATTCATTATTACCATTGGAGTTTCTACTTTTCTTGATCTATTTCTTTACAAACTTCTAAAGAAAAATTTTGGTAATAACTATTAACTTTTTTATAAATAATATTAAGAAAATCATCTTTCATTTGGGTTATTCGATCTTCTAATAATTCAAAATTAATCTCCATAGAATAACCCTTTTTGAATGCCGTCAGGAACAATTGATGTTTCTGCATTATGGATTTTATAAAATAAGTATTAGTCTTCTTGCATTGAAATTCCTAAAAAAAAAAATTATTATTATAATTATCTATATATTATATATATATATTTTTAGAACTTGTTTATTTAAAATATCTTTTTTTTATTTACCATTTTGTTTCC